AAAACCATAATCGACGAAGAAGACTGACTATTTTCTATACAGCTGCAGGACAAGAAAATACAGAAAATTGTCGCAGACATGAAATTGAAAAAGAAATCTGAGAGCGACGAGTATGTGATCGAGCAAGATCGCTTGTTTCGAAAACATGGCAACAATTTTCTGCTAGTACCTGTAGCTTGCCATCTAATGTTTGGTTAGTGAAATTAGAAATTAGAAATTATAACTATAAGTGTTCTGCACACGTTCTGCTTTGGAGTATATCTCTGTCCCGACTACTTTACATTTTTAGCGTCTGGTAACATTATTAAAAAGGACTTATTCTACACTAATATTAAAGGTTTGGTATATACTGCATTAGGCGCTGTTCACAGTCGGCCTTTCCTGACAGATCTCTGCGTCCTCGCAAGATTCATGGGGGCTCCTCCGGTGGCAGCTCACACCAGCGTTTCATCTTGTCGGACGAATACACCGACTTGTAGTGTCTCTGCTTTCGTTGTCTTCTACAAGATATCTGTCGTTCTGCAGGACCTTTTGGATTATAAAAGGTCCTTTGAAGCGCGGCTCCAATTTGCGTGATATGCCCGTGCTAAATGGCTCATTCTCGACCAGCACAAGGTCTCCAAGGCTGTAAACGGTTGGCTTCGCATGTTTGGCATCGTAGCGTTTCTTGGCAGCAGCTCGGTGATCGTTGACTGTTGTCGCAGCATCTGCTCTAAGTTGATCTAATTCCGCATCGGTTAGCATCTTTTGGTCTTGGCTTTGAATGATGTTGGTTATCGCGTTCTTCAGGATATCTCGCGGTTCATACCCATACAAGAGCTGAAAGGGAGAGCATTTAGTAGTACTATTTACCATGGTATTAATGCTCCACTGGATTGATCGGATATTGTCATCCCAACGCTTATCGATGTCATTGGAAGGCAACAACATTGACAAAATGATGCGATTTGTGCGCTCTGCGTGACCATTGGCTCTGGGTGTTCGTACAGCATTTAAAATGTGCTTTACATTGTTTGACTTGCCGTATTTTTCGAAATCTTTTGATGTAAATGCTGTACCACGATCTGTTACAATTCGATCTGGTATTCCCAGGTAGCTGGTTATATCTTGCAGGACATCCAGGACGTGTTTAGTTGCTGTACTTGGTGAATTTGGTGAATGCATCGACTATTACAAGAACATGCTCGTTTCTCTTGGAACTCTTTGGAAATGGCCCCAGGTGGTCCATGTGTATCGTGGAAAAGGGAATCGGCTTGATGTCATCGTAGTGGTACTGACCTTCCTGACGTCCACCTGGTGTTTTATAAAACGCACAGCCCACACAGTATTTGATGTAGCTTTTGACATAGTTTCGCATTCGGGGAAACCAAAATAAGTTTAGAATTCGTGCCATAGTCTTATCCGTGCTCATATGTCCGGCCTTATCGTGACACTCATGTAAAATGTGGAATCTCAACTGCTTCGGCACGACCCATATCAAATTGTTGCCATGTTTTCGAAACAAGCGATCTTGCTCGATCACATACTCGTCGCTCTCAGATTTCTTTTTCAATTTCATGTCTGCGACAATTTTCTGTATTTTCTTGTCCTGCAGCTGTATAGAAAATAGTCAGTCTTCTTCGTCGATTATGGTTTTTGCTATTTTCAGACTTGCGGTATCCATCTCTCGAGCATCTTCGAACGGCGCTTGACTGAGTGCGTCGACGTGGTTTATCTGTGTTCCTGCTCGATGAACGATGTCTATGTCGAATTCTTGAATGCGTAACCACCATCTTGCAATCCGGGGTATCAGTTCACGTTTCTCCATCGACGTCTTTAGGGCATTGCAGTCGATGATAACTTTTATCCTCTTGCCATAAATGTAGTACTTGAATCGCTCTAACGATTCCACAACGGCTAGAGCCTCAAGTTCGTAGCTGTGGTAATTTTTCTCCGGCTTAGAAGTAGCTCGGCTATAATAAGCGATTGGTTTCAGCTGGTTCTCCTCACGTTGTAGCAAAACTCCGGCTTAACCAACGGCGCTCGCATCGGTATGTAGTTCATGCTCTGCGTCTATACGATAGCTGGTGACAACTGGATTTGATATTAGACATTTTTTTAATTCGTCGAAGGCTTCTTCTTGTGGCGCTTTTCAAGAAAATGCCTGATCTTCGCGCAATAGGATTCTTAATGGCGCTGAAATGATGGCATATCCAGCAACGAATTTTCGGAAATAACCAATGAGACCCAAAAACTTTCTCACATCGGTAACATTGGCTGGTTTCGGGAAAATTCTGATGGCGTTCGTCTTAATTTCTCCAGGACTGATTCCTTCTACGTGTATCTGGTGACCAAGGAATGTTATTGACTGTTTATATAACTCACATTTGTCCAGGTTTAACGTTAATCCGCACTCCTTTAAAACTTTCAGGATCCTCTCAAGCCTCTCGTACATCTCATCAAATGTTTGATTGCCAATAAGGATGTCGTCCATGTAGTGTATCATGTCGCCTTTCTGCACTTTCTTTTGTAACTCTGCCATGAGTCGATTGAAAACCGCAGGTGCGATCTTTAATCCGCACGGAAGTCGCTTAAACTCGTAAAGTCCATCTGTGGTGATGAATGCAGTAAGCTTTCGGCATGACATTTGGCTAGTGATGGTGCTGGAGTTTGCAAATATTCGCTGCAAATTGGGCAAATTGTCAAGGGCTATTAGCCTGCCAGAGTAGCCATTTCGATTTTCTCCACATAGTTTATCATCGATTACAAGTTAAATATATATAACCCTACCTGATGAGTGCTACTACTGATTTAAATAATTGTAACAACTTACGGGGTCATTTTCCATTGAGAGCAGATGTTCGGGGACTGAGACAGAGTTCGCGCTGGCTCTTCCGACTCTACTGCTTGGGTGGGTTCAATATGCCTGCATAGCCTTTGGCCCTAGTGTTAAATACTGCCATTTTAATTAATTCGCGTACGAAATTATTGGGAGTGCAATGAAGTAACGAATAATTCTGATCGCTCACGTGGACAACTGACATTTACCGCTAAGCGGACAATTAGGGAATCGCATCGGAGAAGTTGACCTGGCATGGTTTACCTACGATACATTTATACAACTTAATATATATAATATATAATATTATAGCTGCAATCCAAAGTTCTCTTAATTAAAAGTCATGCTATCGAGTACTTAGTGGGAAGTAATAATATACACGTGCAGTGGTATTTCATTGTTACTTGAGTAGTCATGGGTTTTTTAATTATTTTAATTCTTATCTGCACGTTTTTCTTAAGTTTTATATGTTTATATAAGCGCCCCTTTTAGTGTGTCTTGTGCTGTTAAGCAACAATAATTGAAATACATGCTAACACAGTGTACACGTCTTAAAGGGAGGGACATAGTTTATATTCTAGAGATTTTCAGTTTACGGAATATATTTGGGCATACCACTTACATGATTGCAATTCCCGCGACGAAAGATCTTTCGCTGAGGGCTACTATGATGATTTTGCTGGATGAAATGTTATAAAAGATTAAATTATGAGACGAGTACCGGGAATTTTTTCTTTTTTTTCGGTATTTGGGAGCCCGTAATTTACAGCTAATTTTAATTTTTTGTTTTTATTCTTCTTTGTCCCGGATCTTATTTCGGACTGAACGCACTCGTTAAACTTATAAATCAAATATAACTACTTACATTTCAACAGGCGTAAAGATTTTTAAGTTGTATCTTATTTAAACTATTGATACAATGATTTTTACTAGTTACGTTAAGCTTAATTCTCGTTTAACATTTAGATAAGACCTTTATAGGGATTTACAGTCATACCGCAATCAGCCCGGGCTCAGTACTTGGGCTTGATTTTGGACAAACGTCTTACGTGGAGGCAGCACAGAACTAAAATTACAGCAACATGTCGCGCTAAACTGCGGAAACTAAATTGGATGCTTAAAGGTACAAGTGAGCTCAGCCTTAGCAACAAGATGTTGCTGTACAGGTCGATAGTGGTTCTTTCATTCACGTATTGCATACAAATATGGGCTACCGCTTCAGACTCAAATGTCATGAGGGTCGAAAGAGTGCAAAACCGGGCGCTACATACGATTGCGGATGCGCCTTGGTACGTAAGGAACAATGTTCTAGCTTGCGATCTTCACATCAACACGGTGCTAGAGCAGATAAACATGCACTCAAGCCGTTACAACGACCATCTACTAGACCACACCAACCATCTAGCAGCATCCCTGGCAAACCAAATTACAACGAGAAGAAGACTGAAGCGTCGGCACCATGGCGATCTCTGGGCACGAGGACGTCATTGTACCCGTGTCTTAAAACAATAATGTAGAACTGTCACTGTTATAAATTTGTTAACTTCCTTATCTCTGTTATGTTTCATGTTATTTTTTCCTTTGTTACTTCCATGCGTTTTATAGCCATTAGGTTGGCTGATCAACGCTTAAATAAATATTAACACAAAAAATAAAAAACAAAACCTGTATAGGTTGTAGTATTAAAGTTAATTTGCTCGCAATTCAAGTCAAGTTTTCCGTTTTTAGTTCGAGGATGGATTAAGTGTAAATTCATGGATTCGGTAAAAACTAAACTCCGGTGTTTTTCACTCTGCTATTAATTTAATTTTGGTGTGCTTATACAATTTCTTTGCGAAGCCGGAACTTTGCCGGTTTAATTCGATCATTTTTTTAAGCCGCGCACGGGTAATGTCAGTTAAAGTTTATTGATTCAAATGGTGGCACAAATAGAAAATATTGGTTAAGATGCTGGGGGACTAGAGGTAATGATTTCGATTTCTCAAACTCCCTGTTAGCTGAAGCACGTGAAGGCAGAATCGGTTGACTATTTAGTGTTTTCTGATAAAATATAAATATTTTTTTTTTAATTGCTAATACAATTTATTTTATGCTTCGAACATTACGTTGAAATTAATAATACAGAATGTAAGAACACCCGGGGTAAAGAAACAATAACAAAACAAGTGAACGAATACAATAGGATTAGACGGTGACATCCATGGTGTTTTTGATCTCATTGCCCCACTCGCGGGCCATGATCATGATTTCGTTCATGCTCAGTTTGGGTCCAATCAGGGGGTTCAGCTGCGTCATGTAACAGCACAGCCAGAACAGCCAGCATGTTACTGCGGTTAGCATCAGGCAGCATTGAGTCACCCCCTTGTTGGGACCTCGGGCAAAGAAGGGGCAGATGATGCCAATGAAGGCCCAAATGCTGGTGATAACGATCGGTGCCACCCACTCGGAAACCATTTTGCAGGATCAAAGGACTCGACGCAAAGTGTTTTGGGGCGAAATAAAAAGATAAAGGTGGACAATGCGATCACGGAACTTTTTCTCGAGCAACGAATATCACATGACTCAAACAGGTAATTGGCACACAAAAACTTAGACAATATTGGCACACAAAAACTTAGACAATTAGGGTATTCAATTGCGTTGCAATCGTTTGAAAAGTGTAAAAGTGTAAGCAGTTCCAACAACAATTTCCATACAAAATAGTTTTTAAGGCCTACAACACCCCAGCCTATGTATATAAATCTGTTGTACTTGTGTAGAAATAGGGGGTTAATAATGGGTAGGAATTTTATCTAAAATACTAAAAATATTCTGAAAAGTTGGGTCTAAATCCATGGTAATGACAGTGAATGGAATGAAACCAAATTGAATTTTAAATGAAAAAAAGTTTGTCTTCTATAAAACAAAATTATTGAATAACAATTTCAATGGAAGAAAAACCCTCAAGAAAGAGAGCCATGTAGGTCGAAACTAAGCGATGGTCTGAGAGTGAAGTTAATAAAGTCTAGGACTTTATATTTATATATATATATGTTATATATTATATGTTGGAGCACTACAAAAATTTAAAAGTTATCTTTCTTTTGTACGTCAATTTCCTGCAACGATATTTTAAAATAGAGGGCGTTGACAATTCTCGTCTGGCAAACTTACAAATTTTACACTTTTGCAACGCAATTAAATACCCTAAATATTTTTAAGCTCGTGCAGCCACTTTCTTGAAGAACTTTAAGTCGGTAGTTTATAACGAACTAAAAGAACGAATTACGCAGGTACAGTGGCGAGCAAACTTGAGTGCATGTTCACGACGCAAACTTTCGTCACCCACAAAATCATAATCACAACAGAAAATCCAAAAGAGTTTTTTGTTTCATTTTGATTATTTAATTCTTAATAAGCTTAAAGCAAAAGCAATGATGATACAGATGAATTCGAAGAAACTAAAAGTAAAAACGAAAAAACCCCACATAAACTCAATTTTGCACGTTTCAAAAAGTTTTAATTATTAAAAGAATATTAATACTTCGTCCAGAGACCTTTGTTTTGTAAGGATGCTTTCTCGGCCGGGATACAGATCTCAGACGGATTCAGAGTCCTTTACAAGGAAATTTGTAAATCACCGAAACGCCGGACTAGAGGGTTCCACTCCACAGGGGAACGGGTAACTTTGAGGGGAGTCTTCACCAGAGGTCCTTATTTGCGACGAAGAAAAACAGATGACGTTGGTTATGCAGAGTCCGATACCTGGGCTGCGACCTAACGGGCTGGCCGGAGTCTTGCACTTCGCGTCAGAGGCGAAAAATCCACCGGGCTGGACCTTCGGACGAGGCCAAGCCGGGAGATTACTTTGCGGGTGTAAGTCTTGGGTTTCGCGTCGGAGGCGAAAAATCCACCGGGCTGGACCTTCGGGCGAGGCCAAGCCGGGAGATTACTTTGCGGGCGTAAGTCAGCACGAGGGGCGGGGCCGCGCACGAGCCCCAGGATGGCGAAGGAGCTAGGGTTGTGGATAAGGCGGGAAGGGTGTCCACGCGCAAATCCCAAAACTACGGGGGAGGCAGGGAAACTAGGTTTGTGGATACGGCGGGAAGGCTGTCCACGCAAGAATCCCAAAACTACGGGGGAGGCAGGAAAACTAGGCTTGCGGATAAGGCGGGAAGGGTGTCCACGCGCAAATCCCAACAACTACGGAGGCGGTGGGAAAGCTAGGATTGCGGATACGGCGGGAAGGGTGTACACGCACGAATCCCAAAACTACGGAGGTAGGAAAACTACTGGACCGGACGGCAGGGTAAAGCTTTGGTACCTGACTACGAGAAGGAAACACACGATCGAGAGATGCAATTAGGTATTCTTCACCGTTTATTCAATTTGTCCTCACTCAGGTCCGCTACACCGTCTTGAGCACATGAGAATCTGATCGTATTAACCTTAGCTGACTTGCTTATATATATATGTGTGCCTTGTAATCGTCCGCGTGGCCACTCCGCAGAACTTGATCGCCTCCGCTTGGCTATTTCGAGGAGCACGCGTGACTTTCGAAACCTCGCTAAGCCGTGTACGAATCGCACGTCTTTTCCGTTCCGCGATCCCGAGAGAAGAGACCCGCCACGATCGCCGCGTGACCCTCCCTCATTTTCCGGCCTTTTCCTCTATTCGGGATTTCTAGTATTTTCCTACTTCTGGTATTTTAGCTCCCTTGCTTTTCTAGTATTTAACATGTCTTTATGAACTATCGGTTGGCGTTGCCACCCAGAATTCTGAACTTAGCTATGACTTATTTATTCTTAATTCGACTTAATATTTATTATAATTCACTGTATTTCGCGCCTTCTAGGCGGGCTCGTCACACCCCCCCTTTCTTCCCGCGGCGCAATGTACAGGCGCCCGTCGTCCTTGATGGTGACGATGAACTTATAGGTACCCGCTCCGACGGCTATTCGCACTCGACGTCCGCGACCGGTACGGGTAGCCACCTTCGACTCTATCTGGCTTATAACGCGTCGGGGTAGGAAGCATAAATTGTTGCCTCCGATCCAACCTTCTGGTAGTGGGCATAGGTCGTCCTCCGTGTATGCCGACCGATCTACCTCCGCCGCGGAAGTGGGTGATGCGCTCGCTTCGGTCACCGGTTGCGCGCGTCTGAGAACCGTGTCAACGGTAGGCTCGGGGAACCTAACTCCCGACAGATCCGTGAGGACTTGCTCGAGCACCTGATTCTCCCATTTAGTAAGTGGCTCGCCAGGTTGGGCGCAACTGGGGGCTCGTTGGGGGTTCCCATCCTCTCGTGTCGTGGACCAAAGGTTCCTCCCGCTCTCCGGGCGAGAACGTTCGACGTAGGCTCTGGAGGGTATGGTCTCGGTCGTCTGGTCCTGCTGAGGCGACGCCACAAAGGAACGGCGAAACAGGGGCCTTTCTTCTTCATCGTCCTCGGTGTCGGTGACCAACTCGAAGCCGGCCAGATACTCGGAACACGGAACGATCGGTGTTGAGACTTCGACGTCGCGTCTCGGACTGATAGGCCCCCCGTCGTAAGGCACCTGCATCTCGGGCGTCTGAGTCAAACGACGTAGGTCCTGCCGGTTGGGCGGCGAGGTTTGAGTTCCCTGGTCGGACACCTCCTGAGGATGGTCCTCTCTTATTGGGGACGTCTGGACCCCTTGAGAAAGCGTAGCTGGGGTCGTCGAAACTCGTCGGGGAGGAGTTGTCAGACCTTCGGGTGCCTTAGGAGCTTCCCCCTCTAGTTGGGTCGCTACGTCGTACGGCGAACGATCGGCCTCGGGGTTACCTCCTTCGCCGGCTTCAAGTGCCGGGCATGGGGGTGGGGATGGAGGTTCGTCCGGTAGCCCAGGTACCTTTATGAGTACCGATCGGACGTCGATGCGCATGAGCGACACGTATCCGGCGTATCTGCACACTTGATCCTCGGTCGAATGGTGGTAGAAGTGTTCTACGTCCGGAAACTGTGGTTGTCTGGGCCGTGAATACCTCGGATGGCTGGCCCGGGGATCGCGTCTGGTCCACGGGCAGTCCTCCTCCGATTCGGATTGTCGCGACTCGGCGTAGTACGGCTCCCCGGGCCGTCGTCCTTGGAGATGACCGTACGGTGAGCTGTAGCCAGAGCGTGAGGGTCGACTGAATCGGTCAGCATCGTGGTGGCTGGCGCTATCCTCGTCGTCGTCGAGGCGGTACGAGGCTGGTTGGGGCGACGTCGGCTGGTAGCTTCGCCGCGACTCTCAGGGTCGGGGACTCCACAGACCTCCGCGAAGTCCAGCAAAGTGTGGGTCGCCGGGATCCTGGGAATCGTCGCCGTCCATTCCCCTTGAGCTGCCCTCGGCTTCACCTTCGGAGGTGGGGGACTTCTCCTCCTCTTCTTCTTCACGGCCGTCCCCGTAGTTTGCCCCCGGGTGGAAGGCCTCGGTGTCGCCGGAGTCGTCGGATACCACGATTACCTCGTCCATCTGGAATATTAGTCTAGACTTATTGGTATAACCCTACCTTCTGAACTCCCTACCTAACGGTGTAGCTAACATAGGACCCGTCAATCTAAACCTATTACAAGCATTGATCTTAAAACTTTTCCGCGGTTCTGTGCGCTTACCGTGCCGGGTTACTCGCCCCGGTGATGCCGTCGTCGATCGTGTCGCGGGTGTCTACCGCATAGTAGGGTTTAAGCTGTGATATATTAGCGATCCGTCGCCGTCGGTCTCCCGGGCGCCGCAGGCGAACCAAGTTTGGAGACGTAAACTTCGCGACGGTATTGGGACCGTCGTATTTGGGAGCGAGTTTGGCGGCGAATCCCTCAGCGGCCTTTGATAAGGGATGTTGTTGCAGCCACACTTGACTCCCTAGCGTTGGTCTCCATTCGCGCCTTCGAAGGTTATAGTGCCTCGCCTGCTCTAGAGATGCTCGTTGCAGATTCGATCGCACGATGTCGAAGATTCCTTTGAGACGCGACGCCTTGTCTTCAGGACCTGTATGTAAGACCCCCGATCCAGGGGTAACAACATCGTAACTCCCGTCCCTGAGTGAGAAATGCGGGAGTATATCCCGTCGAATCCGATATGCTACTATTGATAGCGAGAGAAATCTCCGGCAACATACTATCCCAAGATGAGATATCAGCGTCTTCACTGTACGGTTGGTCCTCTCGGTGGGATTCTGGATACTGGATACTGGACTTCCACGCCGAGTTTAGTAAAGTAGTCTTTTAGGTCCCGACTTGTGAACTGGGTTCCATTGTCGCACACCAACTTCCGGGGGACGCCCACTCGCCCGAGTATGCGTTCCCGAAACGCTTTCTGTACTACAGCGGCGGTGGCTTTCCGGAGTGGGATCAACTCTATCATTTGGAGAACACGTCGTGGAAAACCAGAAGCATAGAGTTCCTGTTTCGAACGGGGCAGTGGACCCACGAAGTCGGCACAAAGAATGTCAAAGGGTTCGTTTACGACGCGGGTTAGCATTTTCCCTGCTGCTTTGGTCTGAACGGTCTTAAATTTCTGGC